TGTGTTTTTTAATACGCACCCAATCGACACAATTTAGATCAGTTGTATAATAATAAACAACTAGTGAGTGTTTAGTTGAAGGTTTGCAAGTATATGCAGGCTTTGGACTTGTGATCAGCTTCAGTTTGTCTTTTCCTTTATGCCTATGCTCAGGCTTGGGAGGGGGAGGTGGGGTTGTGTTGGTCTGTAAGCCCACTCCCCCCCCCCCCCCCCCAAGTTCCCGTGGGTTCTTGTAATACCGACGTCAATTCGTTCTCATATCTGCAACATGTATTTATAAGGAGGTTGTTGGATTATTCTATTTTGCCCAGATTATCAAAGTTTAATCATAATATTATACTTTATATTTCATACGTTCCCTCATCTTTAGACCGTTGAAGTCTATTTAGCAGAACGATATTTTCTTTAACGAAGCAACTACATTTGTATACACATGATTGAGAAAAAAAGTAGTTAGTATTTTTGATGGTGCTGAGAACAAACGTTAAAAAAACCCTGCGATTTTAAGCTACCCCCCCTACGCGCTATTATTAAAAAGTCTAGCTGCAAGTCTTGTCTTCTGGTGTTTGCAGAAGGCTTTCTCGTAAGATAGTGGCAAGTTTTGATATATAAAAGAACAGAAAAGAACAAGAGAACGGAGGATAGGAGTTACAATATATAATGGTTGCTGACACCGACCAATGTCCAGATGTCGACTACGTTATGTAGGCTAACAACAGAACACTTCTTCTCATGTGTTTGTTGATTTACCTGTGTGTGTGTGTGTGTGTGTGTGTAGAAAGGGGTTGGGAGGGGCGGGGGGGTCTTTGATAGATCAAGCTCAAATAAACAAGCCAGAAGTTAAGGATGGAGTTTTTTTTCGGGGCCGGAGGGGGCAGGGTAATATCCCATTGTACTGGGGTCAGTGACTGGATCGTACCACAGGTGTTCAAGAGCCAATACCCACGTGTACCTACTGTGCCGCTGGACAATCACGTGGCATCCAAAAACAAATGGCCGTTTAATCGCCTCCGGGTATTATAGCCTAATATGATCACGCACTTCTCAATGGTTTTGTCCAATGATAATGCAGGGCTTATAGTTTTAGTTTTTTTCTGTTTTCTCTTCGAAAGAAACGTCATTTGTACTGTATACCGCCTGGTGAACACTTGGGAACGTCATTTAATCAAGTTGTTTTACCAACGTTGTGTCTCTTTGGACATCCAGTAAACCTCGCACAGTAATAGAAAAGGAAAAAAGAACAACTACTAAAAACGTTGCCAACATTTGGATAAACCTGCTTGCAACGCGATTTTTTTCTGAAAAATGTGCTTTGAACAAAGAAGAATGGCTGACTCGAATTCTATTTCTGATTCACCCCCAACTAATGTGAGTATTTTGGAGTTATTTATAGTAGTAGTAGTAGTAGTAATAGTAGTAGTAGTAGTAGTAGTAGTAGTAGTAGTAGTAGTAGTAGTAGTAGTATATTGTATTATTGTAATACTTCAAAACTAAAAACAAGGTGCATTTGAGTGAAAAGAGAGGACTTCACCTGACGTCAGATTCATTTTCTCAAATATACGTAGGTCTGTGCATTTTCTCCTTGTGGTTTTAATTCAGAGAATGCAGGCCATAGCTACAATAATATTTAAAAGTAACGTCATTATTTCATTATTTTTTAAATATTTGTTCTTCATTTTAAAATTATTTTTTTATATTTTTTAATAACTTTTTGGGAGTCTTTCTGCTGCTACTATGTTTATGGTTTTATAGTCACGCTCTTCGCATTTCAATTCTAAGAAAAAAAGGAGTATTGATTTCCACGTGTGAAAGAATATTGAGTGGCTCTGTTCAACCTTTATGCTTTGGCATTATTAAACCCAATATAGACAGTATTTATTTATCCTGTGAGATATAATGTGCTTGTAGAAGCGTAGAACACAATCTAGCCTACAACACATCATGAACATTATTTGTCTGGCAATATCTGGCCCTAGAAAGCAGTAGGAGTAGTTTAAAATTGTCTCTTATCGTAGGCCTGTTCAAATTAAGACGTTAAAACATTCTCAACAATACACAGCTCCTCTTTGTCCATGGGGAGACAAACCAGCTGACGTCAGCAGAAACACAACAAAGGATACAGAGAACGGGGAAAACACCTCGTGGCGTTTTCAGTTTTATTATTTCTTTGTTCCCTACTAGTTTTTGTTTGCTTTTACTATTGACAACGAATGGTGTTGTTGTTGCTTTGCGGATGATGATGAATAATGTTTCCTGATGTTGTTGTTTGTTTGAGTGATGACGATAATGAAAATGTTGTATTTTTGCCTGGTGATAGTTTTGCCCTGATGCAGACCTATTGTGATTTCGAGTTTCCATGTTAAACTGGAAAGGGAGGGGGGGGGGGGGTCTTTTGTTTATTATACGCCCCCATCGACACAATTTAGATCAGTTGTATAATAATAAAACAAATTGTGTGTGTTTAGTTGGAGGTTTGCCAGTCTATGCAGGCTTGGGGCTTGTGATCAGTTTCTATTTTTCCTTTATGTACAGGCGTGGGAGGGAGAGGTGGGGTTGTGTGGGTCTGTGAACCCCCCCCCCCCCCCCCCACGGAGGATTAAAAAATGTTAGTCCCGTCAGGTCACTGCCTGCAGCCGTAACTTACTTGTTAACATAATCGTTACTCATATTTGATGTAACCAACATTGCATCATGACACACCCCTCCCCCCTTCCTCCCACACATCGCTTTGTGTAACGTCATCCCCTAGAGCTTTTTCGGTGTAAATACCGCCGGCGCTGTTGTTACTAGTGGTGTGCGAGTAAGCGAAAAATCTTGGTCGAGTAATGATCGGTTAAATGCAAAATTGTTCGGTTAACCGATGAAATTGACCGAAAAAATTTTCTCGACCAAGAAATCTAGATCGAGCAGGGGTCAAAAGTCATCGCAGCTGCGCTGTAAGCACGCATTTTTCAGCTGATGTCTGGATCTAAAAATAGCCTAGCTTTTGGTCTTCGTCGCTTCGCGCGGTATAAAAAATAAGAGTCAAATATATCGAGAAGATGCGTGCAAAGTTAGTTAATTTGTTTAACATGGATTTTTATTTCTCCCTTCCGGGAATTGAAAAAGTCGGGACCACTCGTATTATTGCGAGAGAATGGGGGGGGGGGGGGGGGGGGTTCTAAGCTAGGCCTACCTGTGTGAGAGGGATTAAAAGTGGATAAAAACTGGGGAAAATCATGAATTCCTAAGGTTGTCGAGATATAGGCAAAAGTTGTCCGAATCCGCTGGTCCGGTAGGCCTGTTCTTCAATCTTACCTCCTTTTTTTTGTTTCTTCGCTCAGTTTCCAGCCCAGATCGAGCATATTTTATTAATAGGTTAGGCTAATTCATTGTGCTGGTATTTATTAAATGTGTTTTTCAAGAAAAGTAAAGATCTAGGCACAGAAACAAAAATCAGCACAGTAATACAGAATAACAAGTTGCAGATCAAAGTGGAAGCGTTGAAATTAAGTAAAAAGAGGAAAGCATCCAAATTACTAAGATTGAGAATGTGAACAAGTCTAGATCGGACGAAATATTCTGGCTTAAGAGGTCAGAATGAGAGCAGAGAGAAATGAAGAGGAACTGAAATAAAGACTTGGTTTGTATAGATGCCAGTGGGTCACTGGTTTGCATGATATAAATCAGCTGATCGGACAAAGTGAGAACAACAACAACACTAGATCTAGCCTACAGACGATGCGTTTCAAGGTCATGTAGGGCCAGACGTAGATCTAGTAAGCCTACGATTCTGCTGCTGGCATGTTGGAGGGGCCTGGGTTTACGGGTTTTAATACGTTTTTATATTGTTGTTGCTGTACTGTCAGTAAATCATTTAGAAAATGGTACCAAAGATGCTTTTGGAAGAGAGCGACCTAGCGCGAAAAGCTCGCGCATACGCTTATCAACGAAAAGACCCTCATATTAAACCTGGCTAGATCTAAAAATAAAATGTTCCGTTATGAATATTGATAAGTTGACACACTTGTCTCGCTTTCGTGCTGGTGGCGCGAGACATTTGCCAAGTTGTTGGTTTTCCAGGAGCACAGCCATTTCAATGTCTTTTACCCTCAGTGCAGTTAAAAAACCGCGACAGTCTAAAAATAAAGAGTGGCTGCTGGGTTTGACATTCAACAAGATTCCCAATTGTGTATCTGATAGTAAATATACTCTTGGGCAGCTATTTCCTAATTAGAATATACGACTTTATTCTATTTTGACTAATAATATGACTTTAAAATATGTTTGGCATTTGTTTGTCAGCAACAAGTAATTTTAGCGTTTGATTGCTATTTGTTCGAACAAATTTCATCATTGCCAGTTTGAGGTTTACCCAGGAGCCAGGAGCACCATTATCCCAAAAGCCTAAACGAACACAAAACCGCGACCGTCAACAATTGAAAAGGATACTAGCTTTTGTACTGAATAATGAGCTCCCAGTTCTACTATTATATTAAAAATATATCTTACAGAATTATAACTGTTATTTCACTCTTTTTAAAGCTAGAAGTTTGCCGTATTTAAAAATGAGGCAAAGATAAATATTACGTTTCGCGTTTGTTTGATAGTGACAATCAGTTTTGGCGTTTGATTGATGTTTGTTCGAGTAAGTTTCATATATCTGATTGCCTGTTTGAGTGTTACCCAGGAGCACCATCCTCGGGAAAGCCTAAATGGCGAACACAAAAACACAACCGTCAAAAACTGAAAATGATACAGGTTTTTATACTGGATAATTAAAACAGATTCTACTATCATGATAAACATACATTTTATGAAATCGTAAATGCTTATTGCATTTTGTTAAAAGTTTGAAGTTTGCTGGTTTTCAAAACGATGCAATGACAAAATATGGGTTTCGCGTTTGTTTGATAGCGACAATTAATTTTGGCGTTTGATTGATGTCTTGCTCGGTCAAGAAACCATTTTGGTCGGTTTACTCGACCAAGAATCTTGCTCGGTTAATCGAAAAATTTGATCGATCAATTGCACCACTAGTTGTTACCGTGGCCAGCAGTACGCTGTGGTCGATCAGGCGGGTAGACCGCCGTAGCGCGATAGACCTTCTACTAAACTTGCACTTATTATTAACAAGACTGGGGTGTCGTGACGGAACTGGCTGCCGTGACGTTAACGTCACTTCACGTACACAGCAACAACGGTTCTGTGTTCTCCGAAAGTTATCTCTAATTCTAATGCCGGAGGTAATAATTATTTCCGTATGGTTGCTTATCAGATTATTTTTTTACAACAAAAAAAAAACCGTATTTTTTTCTGTTCGTGAAAAATACAGACAGATAACATTAACTGCTTCAACATTTGTTTATATTTGTTCAAATACAATGTACCAGGAAGAAGACATCCATGTATCCACGATGAAACTGCACAGCTCCAAGAGGAGATACTTAAATGTGAAGATGAGATATTATCTATACGCAAAGAGGAGCTGATACTCTCAGGAGACAAGGAGTCGCCGACACAAGAAGTTTCTTCTCCTATACGCGAAGGAGAGCTCGTCCAATCTGAGGAGGCATGGGTTAAATTTCACGAGGATCTTGCACAACGGTTAACAGCGCGCTACGAACGGTTGGACCCTTTACAAGTGGAGGAGAATGGTCTTCTTGATGAGTCGTCATCCTCAGATTCCGAGTCTTCAGACGAAGACGAGCCCGTCATGTTTGTCGTGGCTGAAGAGTAGGGATTCATGCCTTTAACAACACCGGAGGAGACAAAACTTTATCATAAAAGAAGTGTCTCCATCAGCGCTGCTATTTAAAGTGTTTTATTGATGTCTCAAGAACCTCATCACCAATCATTTAAGACTATGTTAAAAGAGTACTGTTCATGAGTAGAACCTCATCAGTGTTTCTTTTCAGGTACAAATTTATCTGGAAATGCCTTGAAGATATTTTTGAATAACAATCCTGGACAGGACAGATTTTAAAAAAACCCAAAAAACTGGAAATATCAACAGTTCCCCCACGATGTCCAACGTTAGCGCAATGCTTACCAACGGTGGCTTGGTCACCTCAGTATGAAAGATTGAAGAAAACCATAAGACATGTTGTAGTCGTTGTTGTAGAAAGCTAGAAAATGGGACTAAGAGAGGATAAATCTCGGGAAAAGTACACTACAAAAGCTGACATCGCAGAACGAAAGACCTTTGAATGATGGAAGAGACAGCAACAGTAAAAGAAATGACGTATATGTAGCAGCGAAGATTTGCAACAACTTGAGACTCGAGAGTAGCACAACCCAGCAGAAAACAGCACATTATTTCGTACTAACTGCACTCGGTACTCTCAGATAATCATTTCTATCAGATTAGTCACATTTGCCAACTGCAT